CCCGTCCTTGATCATCTTCCTGCGCGCGCGTAAGAGCTGAGAACAAGCGTCAGGGCTGGAGCTGGAAACATGCATGGAAGTTGAGATGCAAACCCTCTTACCAGTAGCTTCTGCCATGCCAACAGTCAGTCTTCATCAAGTTCACACCCTGACAGATGATGCTTTGGCTGAAGAGCGCCTGATGTTGAAGCGTGAGTTTGCCATGGAGAGCTCGTTCGTCTCATTGGGGTCGAGCCTGGTGGGCAAGTGTGTCGAATGCTGGGGGTTGACTGCGGCTTTACGGCCAAAGCTTTATGCGATTGCCACGTTGCTTCAAGGCGCCTGACTGTTTCAGGAAGTCTCAGGGCTCGTATTTAGAAAGAGTTTGCGTCCAGGTTATGGACGCAAAGCCTTCAACAAACTTTTTGCATGGCATACAATACACAAATCAACTAACTCAATGTTCTTAGCCCGGTGCTCCCCGTTGTTTCAGGTACAGAAGACTCAAGGCCAGCGAGCTGCTTCAAAAGCAGCAAACCAACGGCCGAGAGGGTGATTTGGTCCTGGTCAGCCAAAGGCCTTACTCTTTCGACCTTAAATAAACACTTCGACATCAATCCCTCCCCTGTGGCATAAAGCACCCCAATACCCCAGTAGTTAATACTCCTATCAACATATTCTACTCCCACCGGGGAGTATTTCCGACTGGGCCCTGCTTCAAAGCCTCAATCTGGCACTGAAGGCGTCCGCGTTTATAGCCTCTTGCTCCCACTTCAGTCTGAGGCCCGAGCCACACACGGTTCTTGCCGCATCCCAGGATGGACGCGGCAAGCCGCTTCTGCAGCTTCCTTAGGACTGCTGACATAGAGGCTGATTTGATGAAGAGGTTTCCTTACAACACAGCTTGGGCCTCATTTGCATTCTAAGTTTGTCATGGATTCCCTCACCCCTAGAAGTGCTGTATGAAGCAGACTCTGGGAACCCTGGAGATGCAGCACAAGAAGCTACGCTGCAGAAAAGAAAATGCTGACCACCCGTGAAGCACAGCCTGGACAAACCCCCATGTTTGTTAGAGATATATGGGGTTGTAATATAGGGATATATAGGGATACATGATGACACAAATAGGTAGCAAAGCTACCTTGGCAGTCGTCCTGCAGCTTTTTGTGATCTACTGCACAACACCATGAAACCGCGCAGAATGTAAAATAAATTGACAAAAAGCAAACATGCAAAAGGTAACAAGTAAAAACAGCAACATCGATCATGATTACCCACAATCCCTGTGAAAGTCCACGTCTTACTCCCACCGCCTTGGGCCCCAAACCCCGAATCCTAAACCCTAAACCCCTACAGATTTCCCTTGATACCACAGAGTCTCCGTATTCTCTATAACCTCCCTGAGGGCCTAGACTTCCTGGTGGCCATTAAGGGTTTCGGGCTTAGGGTTTAGGGGGATGTATCAGGGATATATTGGGGGTGTATTGGGATAATGGACAAGAGAACGGAAACTACGATTTAGGGATTTAGGGGTTTAGGCTTATTAGAGCGGGACCTAATCCTTGGAACAAAGTTTTGGGACATGCTATAGTTACATAAGGATTATGCAGGGATACTGATACTCTCCCGGCTCTTAGTTACACTAAATGTGGGACTGCTAGGTAAATCCCCGTCGTTCCTGACCTTCTAACCATCCTAAAACCCTAAAACCTAAACTCAAAACTGCATGACTCCACCACTAAGTAGAAAGCCAAGCTTCAGCGACATGGCGTCGCCACTCCCCCAGGGGCTAGCGACAAACGGTCTTGAACCTGACTGGCATTTATTAGGGGATTTTTGGCTACCCCAACCCTCATAACAAGGACCGTATATCTATCATATGACCAGACTACAGAAGTGACTTTAAGGGATGGGATAACCAGAGCCCCTTTATTAAGCGTCGCTTTGTAGCGACGAATCAGTTAAACTACTATTCTCACCGCGGGTGAACTCTCTGGATGTCGTTGTTATATCACTTTGGTTCATCACATTCCTAGTATTACTGAACTTCCTGTTTGTACTACGACTTACGATCTGACTTCTGTCCCTAATAGGTTACTATGCATTTGGGGCTCTTGGGTCTGGTAGGGTGCAGACATGATCATGCTAGCAATCACAAAGGAACGATGCTGATGTGGATAGGACCTACAGTTGGACAACCGCGTCATATGAGCCATAGTCTAAACTCCTCCTAGTATCCCCCTTAGCCCTATTGTAGTCCCCTGTAGAATCCCATCTATGACCACCTTTTAAGGAGTTTAGACTATAGCCTGTAGCTCATATCAATACAACAAGGTAGGATACGTAACAAGAAGCAGAAAGACGTGGCAGCCATGATGTTGGTGCTGCTGCCGACTTGACTTTTCAGGTCCTCCGCAACCTCATTGCGGCATGGGAATGTACATATGCAAAAATGTAGATATCATAAAACACCATCATAATTCACGAGAAAAAAAAAAGGTGCGGCCTCAGGTCTTGGTAGCAGCATTGCAGCACAACGAGCCATGAACACGACGCTCCAGCTGCATTTTTCAAGAACGCTTAGCTTTCTGAACATTGCTTTAGGGGTTACGAAGGTCTTCCTTTTCAGAGGTCTATTACTGGAAAGACCGGCAAGGCAGAAACCGGGTCGGCGTCTGCTCATTTTCAAACACAGCATGCGGACGGATGGGATCTGGGCGATCGTCGCCTATGTCTGGCACAATTGGCCATCTGTAATGTAAGGCCTGTTCACTGCCGGCTTGCGGGGCGCTGGCCATCTTGGTCAACGATTCTCCGAACAAGCTACAGGCGTTGAGAGCTTCTCAATACATCAGTGTATTATGAACAATCCCGTGATCTGAAATCCGCCTGAGCATTCCTTTACTGGCACCCCTTGAATGGGTCTAGCACCAAAGTTGGGTGGTTGGAAACGTTGGGATGAAAGCTGAAGCCAAGGGTTGGCTGACCGTTCCCACGGCTTGGGGAATGGGCATTGAACATCAAAACTCGAATCCTAAACTTCAATGATTTGTTCCGAAGCTTCATTGGAGAGTTCGTCATAATCTTAGAGGCCCTCCTTGCAGACAGTTCCAGGCTCTCTCTGCACTTGCCTGCACACTCACAAGCAGTCTGCAACATTTGCTATGCCCTGATGTTCTTAAACTGAGAGAAACAACATGAACGCGGGTGGCGCCCAGGGCGCTAGGCTTATCAGCTGTGGCTACCGCAAGTCTCAGGGAAGGTTCGCAACCCCATGAGACAATACTTACAGCACCGCATCAGTCAAAGTCGAACCACGAAACTGGTATGGCTGTCTCATAAGCAAAGCCCTGTTTACCTCGAGTAGAAACACGCACAAGCAAATGGGCAGACTCATAGCCTGTGCGGGAAATCGCAGGTCTTCAGACTGAATTCTTGGCGCACATATGGCGGAGCGACGGGTGGTTGATACCAATTCCCGGGTAGCTTCCAACAGACGGCCCCAGATTTGGAGGTTTCCCAAAATTAGGGGTACCCTTTTGGGGGTCCCTATAACAAGGATTATAGTATTTAGGGGTCTATATTGGGGTTCCCTTATTTTGGGAAACTACCATTTGAATGCCATAATTTTCGTACAAAAGGCAGGCCCATGGAACTGCTGTGCTTTGCTGACGCAAGTGGGTGCCAAAATATTGTATCCTGCTTCTGGGAACCAATCTGGGGCTTCTGCCAGGGTCAAAGGTCCAGGGCATGGTGTATACAACGGTGATTCTTGTTTTTGAGAAGTACCTTCTGGAACTTATGTAAAAGAATCGGTCCAGGCACAGGGAATGGTTGAAGGAGGCCCGCGTAGATTGAACAAATGGCTAGGGGCCCTCGATGCTGCTTGCAAAACGTTATTAGGCTGGCAAGGTTGCATGATTGACCTTGGTTTAGGGCTGAAATTGTAGGGAAACAGAATCTATTTGTCTGCTCTGCCATCGCAGTGAGCCTGCACCTGCTAGTCGTGCGTGTAAGTTAGAAATGTCACCTCATGCAAAGCAATCCAAACCTCACAAATCTGCTCACCACTTCAAGGACTTCTTGGTCTTGGGCGGGCCCATGTTCCTCATATGCTGCATAGGGCTGCCCTTGAGGTGCCTCTGCGGCCGCCTCAGCTTGCCATGCATGGGGCTGCCCACATCGGAGATGGCAGGCGCCGACTGTAGGTTGTGTCCACAGTTCTTGCAGCAGGTGGCATCTGGAGAAGCCTCTGCGTGGCAGTGGGAGCATAGGTTGTCCTGTTCTATGGGTGAGGATGTCACTGACTCGACTGGCTCACCTGCGTATCGGACCACCTTCTCCATGTATTTGAGTAGCTCCCGCGTGCTCTTCTCACTGTAGGACACGGCCTGCTGGATTGCGGTCTCCACTTCAACCGTCCTCTGAAGTGCTCGATCGATCTCGTCCTGGATACGCCTGCGTTCCTTCTCCAAGGTTCCCTGGAAGCTCAGGTCCTCGAAGACGGCTGCCTCCTCAGCAGCCAGGGCCCGTGTCTCTTCAGCTTCTGCCAACTGCTCAACAGCCTCGGCCTGCTCCTCGTCATCCCTGGCACGCTCCTCGCACACCTCCTGAAAGGCCTCCAGCTTTTCCTGGGCGTCCAGCTCGGCTGCGGCAGCCAGCTCTTCACACTGAGCCACCGAGCAGTCCAGGCTACGCTCTGCAGCTGAGAGCTCGGCCCTCGCTGCCAGGACTCGGAACTCCTCAGCCTGCAGCTGTTGGCTCGCTTCTGCCTCGCGCTTCGCAGCCTCCTTGGCCTCAACATCAGCTGCCTCTGCCAGCTTGCGCACTTCTTCCAGGCGGGACGTCATTTGGATCACCTCCTGGTGTGCGGCTTCCTGTGCCGCCGTCATCTGCCGATGTGCCTCCAGCTGCTGCTGCTTGCAAGAGGCCCATGCACGGCGCACCTTGACGCTAAGAGCCTCAAAGTTCTCTTCTGCCTCCACTTCCATGGCTTCTGTCTCTGCTGCGGCGGCAATCTCCTGCTCTGCCACCGCAGCCACAGCCTCAGTGCGGCGCCGCTCTGCTGAGCCTGCGGCGCGGTCAGAGGCTTCGCGCGCCACCTCGCGGCGGGCACGGCTGTCCTGCTCTGCCGCCTCAGCCAGGGCTTGGGTCTCCTCGCACAGAACCTGGGCTGCCTCCAGCCTCTCCTTTGCTGCAGCTTGCTCTGCCTCCAGCTGCTCACAGCTACTAAGCTCCTGCTCCTGCAGCTGTCGCTGTGACTCCTCTACAAGACCGCGCATCTTGGCGCGGATTTCTGACGACCATTTCTTGGTCTCCTCAAGGTCAGTCTCTGCTCGATGCACGGTGCACTCGGCATTCTTGACCTTAGGGCAAGGAACATGTGCGGCTGCCCAGAAGCAGTACTTACAATGCAGAGCATGTGGTGGAGGGGAAACTTGCCAGTAGATCCTGATCAGACTGAACCTCCTGCCCCAGATAAGAGAACCCCTCCATAAGCTTTTGAAACAGATGATCGTCTTGTCAGAAGGCAGGTTTGAAGAACTCAAGCATCTGGAGTCCCAAACACCAGGCAAAGGCGGAAAGCGCCTTGAAAAAAACAAGCCAACCTTCGCACAACTGCACTTGCAGGAACTTGAAGGCATGCAAACCGGAAACTGAAACTTCTGACGGTTTGATAGAAACTGCCCTTGCTGCCAATGGCCATTCGAAGACATGCTTAGCCTCAGACCTTCGCATTCATCTCAGTGTGATTGGCATGGAACTTTGCCTTCAAGGCTTCCACATGCTTCTTCGCGTTCTGCCTCAGCTTCAGGAGAGATACTTGAGACCAGTACTGCCCAGTCTCAACGTCTTCCACCGAAACATTGTGGAAATGTAGAACCCTGGGTTGTTGGGAATATCATCCCGCTATGACCCTTCGGAATGTCGTGTAGTGTACCCTGAACCTCCATTCCAATCATCTTCACCTCTGTAGCACTGTAGGATTACTTTCCAGTCTAGAGGAATCTGGGCTAAAATTCTTGTAAGCCAACAGCCAGAAATCCCATCAATCTCATGTAGGGTGTACTTGGAGGGTCAGGGGGACTTGGTAAGCAGGTGAATGATGAGGATAATTCGGGTTCCTACATGGGTTTTCAGGGTTATTACCTTACTGACTGAGTCCCCTGAACCTCCAAGCGGGCCTAAGGCTTAGGGTGTAGGAAATGACCATTTGCTACAACAAGTTTTGCGGCTCTTGTGGTCGGTGCTGTTGCTGCTGGTGATACTACCCCTGATGCTACCTCTTGTCTGCCGGTCTGCGGCCCCTCACTTTTCCTTGTCTCTCCATCACTACGGTCATTATTGCCAGCAACGCTATCACTTCGTCTGACGATTGGCACTATGAACTCCTGGGGTGGCATAGTTACTCCTAAACTTATGGAAGTTTCCCTAAATTACTGTTCCCAAAATGGGGGAAATTTATATAGGGCCCCGTATTATAATGGGAACCTAAATATAGGACCCCGTATTATAGGGAATTTAGACCAATCCCCTTATAGCTGTCAGAGCTACGCTTGTAATGGTGACTGTTGTTACTTCTCACCTCCCCAAATTATTGAGAACCCCAACATCCCCTAGTAAGAGGGTTTGCACTCCAATATATGGCGTCTCTTATGGGGATTATTTAATCCTGTAATCCCCTAGACCTATAACATAAACATTACTTAGAAGAATTCCTTAGGGTTTTACTTTAATGAAAGCGACAAATAATTCCCAGGAAGAATACAGAATATAGCTGTTTCGCCTGGCTCCGTCCTAAAGCCTTTAACCCTCAACCCCTTACCCTAAATCCTAAACCCTAACCCCTACACCCCTTGACCCTGAATCCTAAACCCTAACCCCTCAACCCTAAACCCTTCACCCTAAACCCCAACGCCTCAACCCCTTAACCCTAAACCTCTTAAGCCTAAACCCCTTAACCCTAAACCCCTTAACCTTAAACCCTAAACCCCTCAACCTCAGGGCTCCGGGCGCAGCTTCCTCCGATGCCCGGGTAGCAACAAGGACCTCCGAGCTTCCCCCCTAAAGGAGGGGTTTAGGGTTGTAGATCCCCCTGAAGTAGATAGAATATAGGGGTCATATTGGGATAATGGAAAAGAAAATGGAAACTACTATTATGGGTTATATAGGGCAAGGGCTGTATAGGATTCAGAGGGTTCTAGAGGGTTATGGAGGGCTATAGAGGGTGAAAGAGGGTTCTATGGGAAGATATAGTAAAGACGTTTGGGAGGCTCAAGGACTGAAGGTCTTTGCCAGTCGATGCTGTCAGAGTATAAGCGGTTCAGCTATTCTCAATCCGCCGACCTTGGGGGGCGTGTTGGATGGTTGCCGAAGGCGGAGAGGGTGAAAACCCTCTTCCTTTCTCCCTTACAGCCCCAAAATGCGGGGGGGGGTGG